AGTGTGCTGTCTACGGAAGCTTCCGAAGAATCGGATAATCTCAATTTATACGAACCTTGCATTAACGAATTGGACGATGTTTTGATTTCGTACGACAAGATAATTGGGAACATTGTCCAGTCGACGAGAACGATCGATAGATTTTTGTCGCGGCCAGAATTGCAAGAATATTGCGTAGAAAATAGTGAGGGAGGAGAGATCGCTAGGAAATCTAATAATCCGGTGTCTTCGAACAGAGAGAAAATCGCGGAAACAGAGACCGATAATTCATTCGATTCGCAGCGTAAGCAAAGTGCAATGGATCTACTTCGTTCTCGAGATGGAAGTATTGAAATGAGAAATTCGAGGATCAAATCGGACGGAGCTCGGGAACGAAGTTCACCACAAACTGAATTGAGAAAATGTCGCAGCCGAAGTTCGAAGGAGAAATTAAAAAAGCTAGGGGTAGCTCGAAGTAGAGGTCCCGCGATCGAATCGAAAGAATCTCCGATCTTCGATCGAAATTCGATTGGAGACCGGTCACTGGTTGCGAACGAAATGGAACGAGTTGAAGCCGCGACGCTTCTATCATTAAAAACGTTTTCGTTGGCAAACTTCGATGGTGATAATTCGAAGAGAAGGGGCATTTCGGACGAACCTGCGACAAAAAATTTGAAAATGAAAGACCGACCAGCTTGGGATCGGTCAGCTTGGGAGAGGAGAGCTTCGAGCGAAGGAACCACCGCAGAAACGAGCGAGGACAACAGTAGAAACAGCGAGACGAAGCAAACGTTCCCTCGTAAAGCGCGTTTATTTCGAATCGTGAACGATAGTTCCAGCCTAACTGCCTCATCGATCTGTCCACTGACCTCTAGCACAGGCACGAAGAGCGCGAACGATACAAAATTGTCGGGAGAGACGTCCAAGTTATCCGACAACGGCGAGTTCCTCGAGGAGGGGGCAATTTTGAAAAGAAATCCTTCAGAAACGAACAAAGAAGAGGCTGAACGAGATGATCGTTTGCAGAATGTCGTTTCTTCGGATGTTTTGAAGGGGATCATCCTCGAGAAAGGAAAACTGCAGAATCTCATTACAAGTCTCGTTAATCGAGAAGACACGAGATTCGCGGAAGACAAAGCGAGAAATATTCTCGGCGTGAACGAAATCGTTGTTCCGGTGTCCTTAATTAAAAGTTTGCTGGAACGCTTGGAGAACGACGTGGCGTGCCCTGAAAATTTGCGATCGTTGATTTTCGAACGTTCGCCGGCAGATAACAACGTGGCCTCGACGGATGTGGAGAGCAAATCTGAGAAGCGGAATTCGCTGTTGGAACTTCCATTGGCCGGGAATTCCGCCGCGACGGAATTGGAGGGGAGACGCAACGAAGGAGGAACTGCCTCGGATAAATCCGAGGGTCGCAAAGACACCACCGTCGAATCGATTCCTCGTCGCGAGGGGCAATCGGTTTCGAAATGTGACGAGATCGCGTCGACAGGTGAACGTACCGGAGACGGAGAAGCGGATAAAGCAAGTTGCGTTATCGAGCTAGAAGGAAGCTCGAAGATAGAGAACAAGGAAATCGACGGTACGAGAAGTAATTTCGAAAGGGACAGTGAAAACGGCGTGGATTCACGGACGAAGAGCGACGACGAAAATCTGATCTCCGCGAGAACTGATACTAATGTTGCTGACGAGTCGACCGCGAGTGAACGATGCCGGATCACCGAAACATTGAAGGATAGTTTACCACACGATGTTAGTAAAGAGGAAATAAATTTGATAGAAAATGCTGGCAAAAGCGAGGAGAATTTGTTGAAGCCTGGTGATTCCGAAGATTCGAACGAGAACTTGGTGGTTTCCGGTGGAAGAATAGAAAGTTTCGTAGAGCCACATTCGATTGAGAATACAGGGGACGATGACGGCTTCGTGAAAAAAATTTCACAGGATTCGTCCGATTCTTTGCGCGACTGCGCATCCCTTCGATCTTCCTTGAGATCTTCGCCGAATAATACGAAACCTTCGCAGCAAGCCAGTGAATTAAAACGGACAGAGACGAGTAATGCGAACAACGATAAAATAGAAAAGAGAAACAGTCCGCATTTCGACGGTATGTTTGAGAAAGAGAAAATCTTATCAGACGTGTACGATGAAATGAACAAGAAGCTCTTCTCTTCTACTTGCCTCGATGCTAACACCAACCATTCGAGCTTTCTCAATCAACAAAGGTAATGCCAATCAACAGGTAAATCGCCTTTGTTCACGTAAATTAAAGGAATTTTTATAAAATAATATCTGACAAATATTGTTGCGGCACGATGTGAAGCAATTCGCGCGCTTCTATTCGAAACGGAAGAGAGCGTGTGAAGTATAGTAATGGAACACGATCCCGATATATGATCGAAGATCGTGTTCTAAGTGGGACTGTTTAATTTAAACGATAGATTCGCATGGAATTATAGTTAACTAACTGACTAATTCAACGCATCGTTGACCAGCAATTTTACACAGAAGCTATCTTATGTCACTGTCGGCTATTATTTCGCAATTGAGTATGAAAAATAATTTTCTCCTTGCAGATTTTCCAACGGTATATCTACGATATCTACGATACGATCAAATAAGGTAGGAAATATTTCTCTATAATTCTACGTATTGTTAATGCGACAATTAAATTGCAAATATTTATACAAATTCGTATTTTCACGAATTACAACTTGAAAGATAAAACACCGAAATTTGCTTCGTCTAATAAATATTGCAATTTCGTTGCAATATACTTGTTACAAAATGCTTGTAATTTCAAACTTATATATTTATGCATGAAATAAAAATTTTTAATAACGGTCCAGTATTAATTTATGTAGCAACAGTTCTCCTGTCTTTTGTTT